GGGATCTAACCCTTCAGCGCCCTGCGATGTGTTAGGCAACCCTTCTCACGTCTCCCACCACTCGAAGGCGTTATCGCAACCAAACCGCCCTCCAACCATCACAGTCGTTGCTTTCAAAAACATCTCGCATACTAAAAAATTAACATGAGACACCTATAGAATATTTTTCATCATACCTTGACGACAGAACTAAATACCTCCATCTGAGTAGTTCTTATGGTTTGGTCGTGACTTGCAGACAGCTTTGTTATCGCTGTAACGCGAGACTGGCGCGTCTGAACGATGGCTTAACATAGAAATTGAAGTTGCCCACTTGCTTGCGACACCAGCTTTGACGAGATTTTGGACAGAATCTTCATCTTGAATGAATCCTTGGGTAACCTGCAACGAAAAATCAGATCTTCAAAAGGCAAAGCGAAATTAAAAAAGTACCACGCTCTTGGATTGAAATGGCAATTTGAATGAAGAACTTCGGGCCAATCGAACACAAATGTGGTCAGTGAGAATTCCACGATCTTTGCCCGCTTTGAAGCTGTACAACGGCCCTAATGCTCCCACTGTTTCGTTTATTTTAACCAGATTAGTCCCCCGTCAACCGCCGGGACCTTCCTTTCCTGCGCAAGCTTTCTATCCTCCGCTATGGGTCCCTTCCTCCTGTGACACCAACACCTCGTGGAAGTGACGCGTATGCAACACAATGGTGTTTCAAACAGTAGAAGGGACACAATCATGATATGGCGGTAGATTTTTCGCTTCCCTTCCTCATCCTCCCTTCCTCTCTCCACTGCCCTCCAGCTGCCACTGCAGCACCATGTGGAATGAACGGAAGTGTGCTAAGCAGGTGTTTATATAGCCCTAAGAGTGTTATCACAACTATCCTGCTACAAAACATTGATATCTCAAATCCTGTAAGCTACCCGATTTGTTAGCGGTTTGTTTATCCCATGAGCTTCCTTCTCACTCACTTCATTTTGCGGACGGACACACATACATACATACACACGCACACACACACACACTCACACACACACACATACAGATACACAAACCGACACACAAAGTTAGCGCTTTATAATATAGTAGGATTCGTATAACTCACGCATCCACGATACTCACCGTCTGTAACCACTGAGGCACTTGTCTAATGTACCTCTGACGGCGTTTTCCGCAGCTGCTTTATTGATGCTTGAGCTTGAGCTCTCTAGCATAGTTGTCACATCAGAGGTGCGATCATCTATATTTAAATTGAACAAAGTAATATGAATTAAATTTCAATTGTATCAAAAAATATCATGTACCTCTTGAACACCTGGGGGTAATTCCGAGTCGTCCATTGGTTCCTTCGTAGGTATCAACTCCATGAGATTAATTGGTGCCTGCTGTGATGCTGAAGAGGTTCTTACGACGGGTTTGGTAGCGGTTATTTTTAATAACTCGGTGGACATCATTAATGTTGTTTTGCGAGATTTGCGGCTCAAAGAACCTTTCCGTCTTTCACGCCTTGCCGCTCTTGAATCCAAGTTGTGCGGCCTCCATTCCTGCAAAAATTGAGACTGAGACTCATAAGTCAGTGAGCCACTTGCAGGACGAGTATAACTGTTGTGATCACGTTTGCTGAAGGGCGGTGCGGTTTTGATGGCCTCATTGAACGTCACCGGTAGCCTAGACCTCTCAACGCGACGAAGTGTCGTTGGGATCGCGTCTTGACGCCCTTCTATCAACAAATTCCAATAGCGTCATCGAAACCGCAGCTCCCCCTTTACATTGTCATCACTAACTTTCGTTGCTAGCGATCAACTTTTGATATGTAGCAATTTTTTACTTTGATTCTAACCCTTTTTTTAGACCTTGGGTGGCGATGAAAAAAGCATGGGGATAGCAGGGTAAGATGTTTGATCTGTTTTGAAGTTTTTCGCGCATGAGACTTATGTGCATTCAGAACTAGGCCGTTACGAGTCTAGGACTAAGCTTAGGAGGGGCAGAAGTTTCGGAGCAAGCGGAGATCATGTTTCACGCGGTTTCAGATGCATTGCCACCGCAATGCCTTCGTATCTTGCGATAACGCGGGGAAATTTTTGTCATGGATGCTAGCTCCTCCAAAGCGGAAATTGAGAAGCGATCTTGGGCTGCATGACCTTGACCCCGCTGAAGTTTGCCTTACCACACACCGTTTATCAGCCCTACTTTTCGTTTTTGATAGACGACAGTTTTCAATTCACCGTGCCTGCGTTTAATAGTGAATGCTAAGTTGTTCCGCGATGGAAACTACCGTGCTGTTTCTTATACTTTGACAAAACTTACGTCTGTTAAATTTAGAAGCAGTAGATCGAGTAGCACAACGAAACAGAACCCTAAACATACCCATGAAATGCTTTGATTTTGATAGTTTCAGAATTCGTCTATGAAAGCGGACGCTACCTTTCATTGTGGCAACAAGTAACTAAATGAAATAATTCCCACCAATGAAGAGTAAGTGATCTAACAGTTGAGAATGAAACGCTGTAATCATTTCACTATCAAACATTACAGTATGCGAAAAGTACCGGTTCACTAAAGGAGTGTTCAGAGTTGGCGATCGTACGTGCGATCAGGCGATTAGGCGATTGGGCGATAGTCTATAATGAAAAATATACGTATAGATTAGGCGATTAGGCGGGGAAGACAACATACGTATTGATTGTTTTGCTCCGCCCATAGAACGTTGCAGGCGAGTAGGCGATATGCGATAAGGCTATCGCTCAGTGGGCAGAGCAGCAAATCAGGGCAGAAGAACATTTATTAAAGGAAACCAATATACACAAAACAAAAACAGAAAATACAGTGCTGAAATCATTTCAATTTGAGCACCGTACCCGGAACACAGACGCCGCACGCCACTGGACATCTGTTCCTCGTAGCTGCACGTGTTTTTAGATTACGATGTTCGCACATTCGTAGAACATTTGCTTGCGTACAGAAACCTTGCCCGTTTTTAGCGAATTCGTCGAAACACACTGAAAGCACCCTTTTCGTTAAAGAAGCAGTCAAAGATTCAGAAGGCAAAACTTACTCATTACGACAGTAACCGCAAGTCAATGGACACGCATTTTTCATAACTCCACGAATCTGTAACACCAATAACAATGAGTATTCATATGGTTATTTATCACTAATTCGGGGATAAATAGAATTCAAGCCGCCCCAAAACAAAGTTATGCAAGTGATTTTCGCCAAGTGACTCTTACCCTGTCCTTCGTCAGCAATTTCTTTTCTTTCAGTCGCCAAATCGGACCGTCCCGTTTTTGGATTCACAATATCAGTGCAGTTCATGGGGGAACCTGTTGTGGTTTCTGGCGTGGTAGCATTTACCTAAATTGATGGATAGTTTTTTTTTATAATTCTGATTGTATGAATCCGTGTGATGTGGATCTCGAGTCCACAGGGTTATAAAGTTCATGTCGAATTGCTGGCTCTCCTGAGTTGACAGCAACAAAAACATCGCATAAGGTTTCTTGCACGGGGGGGGGGGGGGGTATCACATTTGAAATCGAGATGGGGCATGTCTACAGGAAGGGGCTTATTTTGGAAAATATGGCAATAAGCAGAGGCAGCCGAGAAGGAAAGGAAAAGAAAATGGAAGGATTTCGTGAAGTCTGGCGAAGTTTTAAAATGTTTTGTCGTCCCAATAATTACATACATATATACCCCGTGGCCGATATGTTTCAGTTTTATGTGGAGGAGGAGTAGAGATGTGTCAGGACGGAGCGGATACAACTACTCTACGGGCACCATCGAATGTTGGAGGCTCACGTTGACACTATTGGAAGAGAAATGGGTCGTTCCGTACAAAAATTTCCCCCATCGTGACATTTGACCACGAACCGAAGACGTAATTGAGAGATTGCACAGTTCCTGCCGTGCGAAAAGGAGCCTCCTTCTCCCACATTGCCTTCTTTCCTCTCAACAAAGAATTATGAAAGAAAGCCTCATTGCTCAACCTACTTCTATGCATTGGGATGTGTGCTGAGCCGGATCGCGGACACCGGCTCTTTTACCTAGTCTGTGCCTTTCGCTCCGAGCTATTCCTCAACCCGGTATTTGACACTATCTTACATTCCTATGGGTTTTCCTCTCCCGAATATAATTTATCAAAGTACAGTGGGCCCTCATCTCCTGGAGTTGTAGCTCCTGCTACCTGACGTACTTACTGACCTCAAGCAGTACAGACGGCAGAGGTATAACTGACTGCTCTAAAAACTGATACAAAATGTATGATTTGAACCTCGTATTTTCACGTACCTCCTCTGTGATCTCAGCCGTGGTAACCTTCGCTGCTCGATAGAAGTCGTTTTTCCTTCCTCTGTTGTCGTTAGCTCACCCACTAACGTAGGCGATGACGTCCCTTGCGAGAGTTGCTCTTCAGCAGTGCTGGTCGTCTCGACTACTTGAAGTGGTGTCGTCGTCGCATTGCCCGTCACATTATCTGCGGTGGTGGTGTCGCTCAATTCTTCCGCAACAGGAGACGTCGCAGACGTCAATACGGTAGTGCTGCCGTCAGCAGCTTCCGTCTCATTGACCTGAGTACGAATTTATCGCTTATAGACAGTTTACTGGGAGTAGTAAGTTTCGTCACAACGTATTCAGCCATCAATGGGCTGTGAGGCTAGTAGCGCATTTCTCATCAATCGCAAGGCAGTAAGTGCTAATATGAGGAACTAAGGGTTTGGTGAATGAACCTGTTGTTTTCAGAACTGTCCAATACTCCCTGATATAAGGGTTTACATAGCACCAATACTTGAAGAATGGCTACGAAAACTATTGGCGTATCCGACAACACCCCCATCCAGCGTGAATCGTTATTTGGACAATCTGGACGCTGGTGTGATTTTTGAAAGGGGAGGGCGGGGAGGATGTTCTGGCTCTTTACAGTGATCGAAGTGGTGAATGTTGAAGAAGCCATGTTTATAGAGATGGAGTCGTTGTTTTGAAAAAGGGAATTTTCCTTGGT